TCAGGGAAGTAATATTCTGTTGTCCTCTGTGGGTGGATCGTTGCTTCTACAAATCATTGCAGCTCTGAATTCCCAGCAAAGATTGATAGAGAATAAAACACTTACTTTGGATTGTTAATTCAGTACCCAATATTAGCAGTCTTACTGTTGCGTGTGATCCCAGTGGGACCAATGCCTGTTCCAACAAGCCAGGTTTGTTCTTTAAGCTGAAGGTTTTGAAGACCCAGAAGAGACCATAAAGTGTTGGGAATGATGTTAAAATAACACCTTCAGAGTATATGAAAACTTACAGATAAAGATGTTTATCAGTGTACCAGTTTAAGCTTTGTGTAAGTGAATGTAATTCCCATTGTACAAAAGAGCTGTCTATTCGCAAACAGGCTAGAATTGGCTATGTAAGTATTTGTATCCTGTGTTCATGTACTGCCCATCTCTAAAGCTGTACATTTTCCATCTAGTATTTACAGAGATTGTACTGCTTGGTAAACACAGATACATGGCCAACCATAGCATATCCCCATGCTGCTCTGTGGGATGCCATGTTAGTCTCAGCTTGTCGTTCCCATTCTAAGCTGTAAGGTGCCTCTTCCATATCATTCCAACAAAGACCATGTTCTCTTGCCTCTCTTGAACCCCATTTCATAGCTGTAGCTCCTCTGGCCCTGATTCTGGACTGGGCAGGAGCAGAATAGTCATGTGAATGTGGCATGGGATATATGTGACTGCTGCCATCCTGTGTGACCAACTGTTGCTATCTTAGTATCAGAAAATGGTCATTGTTCTCATAACTTTGTCTCAAACCAGATGGTGCTTTTATTTTTAACTACAGCAATAGCTGAGCTCCATTTTCTTTAAAACAGCATTGGCCTCACCAATCCAATGATGTAATAGTAGTGGCTCAATCAGGACAGTAAGTCTCAGGAAAGAGTTTGGTATTGTATCTTATTTGGCTAGTTCCAAAAAGCTTGCATTCATTCCATTTCCAAATCAAGCTGCTTCTTCCTGAATTGGGATATTGTAAGTAAGGTTGTGGTCCAGTGGCAGAGTATGTCCCTGGTAAACTATAGAGTATGTGACAGTGAGGGAGCTGTGATTTATGAAAACCAGCAGGTCACAAACATCATCAGTATGTGGTATAGATAATTCAAGAAAGGAAGAGTAACCCAGTTTGCAAGACAGGTTTGGCAGACTTTGGCTCTTGGAATCAAAGGTGTGATCTAGTTCCCAATGAGGTCGCTGTCAGAACTTCAGTTGCTCTCATTGGTCCTGGCCTCAATGTCATTGGCTTTTGGAGCAGGCCCACTGATGGCACAATCAAGCCCTAGTGACTAAGCGTTGACTTACGAATGTGAATATTGCTTATGGGCTTGTTCCATAATGCTGAAATCAATAAGAATTTTGCTAAACCATCATCAAATGAAGAGCTTCTAAGATCTCATGAGCTGAGGCAGGTCAGAATTTGAACCTAAACCCCAGAGGATGAAAAACTGGAGAGCCCGATACCAAAATCCTAAATCATCCAGTTTCCTCAAAGTGATTTGCTTTCTTAATGTTATTAAGTAGTAGAAGAAAGAAACGACATGGAAGCCAAAGGAAATGGGAAAGTGATTGTTTTTGCAGAAGTCTTTAATTCTGTATGGTGGTTCAGTGTTTAAAGTAAAAGTAAATGCTGAGTTTTAGTGTTGGTTCTTGCTTCCATTTGGAGAAGGATAAAACATGGAATGATGAATTATCTGATACTGGAAAGGCTGTTGAGAGAAGGGTACTATTTTCAAGCTTATAACAGTTCAAAATGCTAGCTACGCAAATGTATTACACTGTATATATCAAACAAAAGAGAAACCATGGCTCCCAAAATTCTCAGATCCCATTATCAGAGTGACTAGTGAAGGGATTATTTAAATGCCATTTCACTAGCCTACCATCATATTTGCTGTCTACACTGCTTTGGCTGCTTGCTTGTTCTGGGGTGCTTGAGAAAAAATGCACATCATAGGAATATCAGCATGAATGGATTTGGGATGCTTTGGTAAGGCAGAGTAAGTCACATATGTTAAAAAAACAAAAAAACAAAAAAAAAACCCAAAAAACCTAATGTTCGGAGGTTTTTCCTTTTTGCATCTTATCCATGTTTGAAAATTGTGTGGAACAAACTGAACAATTTGTTCCAGTTTTTAGAAAATGTTAGTTTTACTCTTGTTTTAATGTACTATTGTTTCTTGAGTGTTGGTACTTCAGCATGCAAGGGTTACATAGGACTTTTTCCTGCAGGGTACTGAACATTCTGGTCCTGATCCGACAGAACACAGGCTTAGCTCTTTAGCACCCAAGTAATCCCGTTGACACCAATAGAACCATTTAGGGGCTTAAAGTTATCATAGTGCTCAGTGTTTTAAATGCATCTGGCCAGAAGATCCACATGACAACATCTTATGAACTTGCTTGTTTATAAACCAGTACTGATTTTTGTCTTTATCCTTAGGTGCCATTACTGCAAGTCCTCATGCCACGTGTCATCCCTGCGCATACCATACGCCTGTAAACTGTTATTCCAAGAGCTTCAGTCCATGAACATTATACCCAGGCTAAAATTGGCCAAATACAATGAATGAGCAAGTTCAAAAAAATTAACACAAAATGAAGACCCATATATATAACTGGAAGAAATGTTCCTGAACACAAGTGACTCTTAAAACCAAGGGAGTAGAAGAAATACTTGACTACATGATTTCCCACCCACTCCTGTTTTAATTTGGGTGCACTGACCACGCTGAGAGCTACCGAAGAGCAATCAATGAAGACTTAACCAGCTCTGAATAAGGTGTGCAACAACTGTAATATGGCCCTGCCCCAGCAAAGTGCCTGCATACCTTTCAAGAATGAGTGTTGCATGCTCAGTTATGCAGGTGCTTTGCTGGGGTAGGGCCAAAAAATATACTAGGCAGAAGTCACTGCCTCGTGCTGAAATGGTTAGTTTTATTTTCCACATTGGTGGGATGTGAATGAGGAATAAAAATTTTCAAAGATACTGTATGAGTCTGTTTCGGTGAGCTAGTTGTTAATGTTCTCAAATCTACTGTGCTAAGTGTTTTTAAGTACAAAATGTCTAAGGTATCATTGTTGCTGAAACATTTTGCTACAAACATCTGACAGTTCAGCATGACTAAAGAACTGGAGTTGGTAGTTCTGAAGAACTGTGTCTTTTTATGAGAGAACAAAGAAAAGCAAGTAAAGAGAGAGGACTGAGGTGTGCATACACACAAGGCCAAATTCTACTTTCAGCTGGGCATACTCCAGTTCCAGTTAATTTTGAGAGGTGGTGTCTTGGCAGAATCTGGCTTATAAAGTCAAATATTTAATTCTATTGGGCGTGTCCAGATGAGTGCGCATGTGCCTCTTGCCCTGCCTCAAACCCCTTTGAGGCGGGGCAAGAGGCATGTGCCGGGAATAAAAACAAGTTTCCCTGTGCTGCAAGTTTGCAGCGCGGGGACAAAATTAGACCCCTAGATATCCAGGGATCTAAAAAAACTGCTCCTCAATAGAGCGAAGCAAGGCACGGTTCAAGACGGTGCCTTGCGAGCCAGTCCTTACCCCCCGCATGGTCCCCACATGCTGGGCCAGGTCCTGCTGCTATAGGAAGGGTCCAGCTGGGCGGCACGGCATGCAGGTATGGCATGCTGAGCCAGGTCTTGTCACCATGGGCCAGGCCCCAGGGCTGGCTTCTGCCTCTGCCCCCCATGCAACCCGCTCCAATGCAAAGCTGGACTAGTGAGCTGCAGGGATCTGAGCCAGGTCCTCAGCCCCCACAGCCCTGGGACATCCCCCCTTCCACCCAGCAGAGCAGCCCCATGGGCAGCGGGACCCAGCTGGGCCCCACACATGGGGACCACACACTGTGCTGCCGGGTTCTGTCACCATGGGTCCAGTCCGGCCATGCTGCAAAGGGGCCCCAGGACCCCTGTGGGCCTGGCACACAGTCCCCTCATGCTGCACCAGGTCCTGCTGCCAGGAGACGAGCCCAGCTGGGGAGCAGGAGCAGCCCCAGAGCCGGTAGGACCTGGCTGGGCTCAGCGCATGGTCCTCCCGCTGCTGCTGTTAAAGGTTAATTACGGGACCTGGGTGGGGGGCTGGGGCAATTCAGGGTGGAGCTGGGACCCTGGTGGGGGGTGTCCTCCAGGGTGCTGGGACCCTGGGCAGGGGGGCTGGGGCCCTGTGGGGTATAGGGGCTGTGGCCCTCCAGGGTGGAGCTGGGACCCTAGGTGGGGGGGCATTCCATATGCTGGGGTGGGGCTGCACCATGTGGGGGCCGAGGGACCCACCCCTCCTGAGCAGTCCCCCCACAATGCCACTCACACCCACAGTCCTCCCAGCAATTGCCCCATTCCTACCCACAGACCAACCCACATCCCTTCACACACACCCACCCACTTTCCCCTACACCCCTTCTCACCCCCTTTCTGCAAACACCACATACCCTCATCACACACCCATCATGTATGAAGAAAACCAAAAGCACGCAACACATAGGTATTTAAATTTTATTTTATCATGATGAAAGAGACACTGGTAGGCTTCCAAATTGCTTTAACACTGTAAATATACCAATAAAGCATTACCCAAGTTATCGCAGTCTCTCTCTATAGAGTGGGGGGGGGGTGTGTGTAGAGTGGCTTTTCATTTTAACTGTGGAAGAACATGGATTTTGGGGTATGTTTAAAAATGGATTTGGGATGCTGCTGCAGCAGTCCAGTTGGCAGAAGGGGTAGTGTCCCCAGGTATCAATTGGCTGGGCCCCAGAAGCTCCTGAGAGTGAGTAGCCCTGAGCTGCTTGCCAGGGAAGGTTTTGCATGGATGGTGCCAGGACAGGGCAGCTTTTTATACTGCTGGGGGTAGCACAGGTGCTGGCCCCAGGCTCTAGTTCCCCCTGGCTGCAGATCCAGGAGGAGCCAGGCAGGGTTCTTTTGCCCCAAGTGGTACAATTTGCTTCACAACAAAGTGCATGTCTGAGCATGTGCGCTGAGGCAAAAAGCCCTGGCTCAAATTTGCACCGCTTCTATTTGAGCTACTGCAAGCGCACGTGCTTGCATGTGTGGACGTGCCCATTGACTGCAGTATTCTAGCACATAATAGTTTGGGGGCTGAAGCCCTGAAAAGCTAGGATACAGATGCAAATGGAGTTTTTCTTGACACTTTAAAAAGGAGTTTTTTAAATTGGGCTGGCCAAAGTATTGGTAAAGAACAGTCCCACATTGGTAATTCAGGACTGCTTTTCTGCCAAAGAGGATTTGGAGAAGGAAGTGCTGTGCTGCTCTTAATGGAATATAGTATGTGCAGATACTCTGAAATTACTCCGGCCATGACTCTGCACATGCTTAACTGGCTCAGAGTCCCCTGTTGCATCAAAGAGAGGGAGCTGAGCAGTCTGCATCAGAAGCAAGGAAGCAGACTTTATTCAGGAGATCCTGAGACACTGCCCTTTTGAAATGGCCAAACAAACTTGGCACATCTTTACTCTTCTGCTTGTGGAAAGAGCTCTTAACTGAAGAGGGAAAGAGCAAAGCAGTGGCAAGTGCCCATCAGGTGCTATTGAGTGGGGTCTAGCTGTTTCTGAGCTGTTTCAGCCAGTAGCCTTGTGTCTGGGGTAACAAGTCAAGTCTTAGTAGTAGGACTCTTATGAAGGATGGGCTTCTCCCCCTGTGCAGTAATCTAGGTAATTCAGAGCAGTGCTTGGAGTTGAAAAGGCTTCCAAAGCACTTATACCTTGACCCTAACTGTTTTGAACATGCCTTAACTTTCTGTTCATAGACTAGTTGTTCATGGCCCCAGAAGGGACATCTTGTAAGCTGCCACCATAAGCAAATTACCTTCTTGTTGCCTGAATGGGTTGAAGGGAGAGCATTAATTAAAAGCTCTGGTCAAATTAGTGCACCTTACATTGTTCCCTGAGATTTGCCACACAGAGGCTCTGGTGGACCACCAGAGGGAGTGAGCTTCAAAGGCTGAAGCTGATCACTGGGAGAGCTCTGACCTGGATCTGGGAATATAGACCATGTCCTTGCTGGCTGCTCTTATCTTAACTGCTATCACTGGATATGAGGGGTGAGTTACAGACCTCTTGGGGCTTTCAAATTTGTAAGCAATAGCTAAAATTGTACCTAGAAACAGAGCAGAGGTAGTAAGAAGAAATGTGTTTGTAACAGTTTACCCCATTCAAAAAGGCTTCTGTGTGACCTTGAAGAATAACCGTAAGAGTATCTTGCAAGAGTTGATATAAGAGCTAATAAAGGCATTGGTAAGGCCTGTACCAGGGAGGAAAGGTCATATCCCCTTGGCTTGCTGATTATGGGGAAGGAAGCGGGAAAGCAGTCCTGGTCTTTGCTGCCCATCAGAGAATTTCTAGCACTGATGGATCTCGTAGATCCATATGGGCTACAGACAGTTCTGGCAACAGGCTGTGTGGTGTACTGTTTTAAACTAGAAGTTTTGTCCACCAAACATTGCCTTTGTCTTACTTGGATAAAGTCAAATCTAGTTTTCTTTGTTAAATATACTTCTCATATATGAAGACTAGAGCTCAGCATGAATTCATCATTTTACCATCTCTGTATCTATTTTTCTCCTGTAGGTCTTAAAGCATATACAGATGATCACTGTTATTAGTAAGACACTAGAATGATATCTGGTTGTGTGTATGGTATCTACATTTCACAGCCAACATAAAACACTCTGAGAACTGCTAGAGACTGACCTCTCTCCAGTAGTTCAAAAGACAGAATTACAGGTGACTGGAATTGGAGTCCAGTATGGTCAAAAAAACTATGCTACTAGTGGACTTGTTTGGAAATATGCCTGTCAGTCCTCTCAAATTACCCTGTAAGGGCCATTACTTCATCTGAGAGTCTCACAGTCTTCATAGTTCTTATCTGGCACTTAGGACTTCTTAATTCTCAAAAAAAACCTGTAAAATGTTAAATATGTCTGTTAGGCACATTGGTGTTTTTTTCCTTTGTAAAATGAATGCCTTCACATAAAGTTCTAATGTCAGCTAATGACTTCAGTGCTATGACTGGTCTTCCTCAAAACTAGCCTGCAGTGACTCTTTGTCTCATCCCTGAAAGAAATGTAATATTCTAAACAATACTGGGTGATCTTAGGGCTTTAGAATGAGGAACTGTGGTTAGAGAGCTGCCATAAAGTTTTAATTCCAGGCCAGCTTCTTTATCTCTTGCTGCCTGGTGTCCAGGAGAAGCTTTTTACCAGAAATACTTTTCAATGTGAAGGTCAGAGGCATTAGTCCCAGCTGAAATGCTGAATACAATCCACTTCCCAATGCAACTGAAGTATATGCTACTGTTAGAAGGGAGATCTAACGTTTAATATAATTTAAAAGCATCTAATTTATTTTGAGCATTCAGCAGTACTAAAAAAAAAAAAAGGAAGAAATGCTTTGAAGCCCAGACTTCAGTAATCAAGTCTATTATTTCACTGCAAAACAGAGAAAGGATCTAGATTCATTGAAAGTTATCCCTTCAATTGCAAGAAATGTCTTGCCCTGCTGTTTAAGTGGATTGTCCTGTCAATGGATTTAAATGAGGTATAAGCTACTTTTTTTCAATGTGGTTCATTGATAAAATCCTAAACTTTTAGGCATTATTGAAGCTAATGTATAGCTTAATAAGTTTTACAGGACATAGAAAAATCAAGTTTATTTAGGGCCATTCGCATAACTTAAGGCTTCTTATTCAAATATTTTAATCAGAAAGTGTGTGTATATAGCTGCTAAATCAGGGGCGGGCAATTATTTTGAGTGGAGGGCTGGTTACCGAGTTCTGGCAAGCTGTCAAGGGTGGCATGGGTAGCCCTACCCTTTGACAGGTGCCCCTCCCCCTGGTTGCCATCTTGTGATCAGAAGTCCCACCCCCTAACCCCTGACCTTTGCCACCCGAAGTCCCTCCCCTTTCCTCTGGAAGTACTCTTTTCAGCAAGGAGTTTTACCCTCTCAGAACCAGAAAAATACCAAATTATATT